TTGTGCACGATGTATGCCTCTAGTTCACCTAGGATCGTGCAAGGCCAATAAACTTTCCCCGCCCTTGGTTGATATTAATTAATCTATAGTTTGCCCTTTAGGCTCTTTAATGCCGTTACTTGAAGAATGAACGTCGGTGCTGACGTTGTTTTTTCTTAAAAGACAGGGACCAGATGAAGTCGCCTTAAACGCTTGGATCTGACACTTCATATGTTTGTGGGCGGGATGGCCTGTTAGCGCAGTGCCGTTTACATTCACTCCCGACCTTTTGTTAAGCCGCACCTGGTCCCGGGCGCGTCTTTACGACACAGAAGGCCAAACCGTGCGTCGATACGGATTTAATTACTGCGATGTCCTCTCTGTTAAGCGCCTCCTCGTCATGCCAGGCCGTTTATGGCAGAAGCGGCAGCCCGGGATGTAACTGTCACTACAATTGCCAGTCATTAACTGCGCCTCTTAAACGAAAATGTCGCCATTTCCACGTAAATTTGATTCCCAAACCGGGAAAAATAAAAGCGGGGACAAGGGCATCAATTATGTCTGAGTAAGGCCGCGTTACGAGTACGGAGTCGACGTTTGAGAGGAAACAAAAACGCGTTTTCCGAACTTGAGGGTTGAGTGGACTGATTTTTAAGGGTAATTATATACAAGAGAAGTCCAAATATAGATTTTTTAGCGAGAGAAATCGCTAAAAAATATCGTCGAAAGTGACAAGTTCCACGCCGGCGCTGGCACGAGAGTCGCGAGCAGAAATTCAATTCCACGTCCTCGATGCGTGACACATCAGCGGCCATTTCATAAATACAAATAAATACATAAAGGCGGGCATTTCACCGTTGATTTGGTAGGTCGTTAAGTTTTCCCATCTCACGGCGGTCACTCCGCGTCCATATATACAGATGTCCATGTTTTAAACATCACCCATCCATCATAAAGGTAAACGGAACGGACCAAAACACCGGCATGATTTACCTCCCCATTTGGCCGTCATCGGATGACTCCGCCGGGAGAACTTTGTTAGAGAAGTCTGGTCAGTCCGGAAATGGCAGGGGTCGGGGGGAGTGGCCTGCTTTATTCCTGAGCGTTTGGGAGAGTTTTGCGTCGACATTTCTCCTCAAAAAGTTGTGATGAAGAGTTCTTCAAGACATCTTGGCCACCAAAGATGCTCCGTTCGATCCCATACAATTACTCAACCCACTCGATCAATCAATAAACTGGTTGCTTGAACGAGCCATTAGATACAATCTTTTGCTTTGTTCCAGTATTTAATGTATTTAATCACTATGTTGAATTCCAGCAGGCAGGTAAGCTTGGTTAGGACGTATAAGGTGGTGGTCTGGAGGCATCCTGTCGAATAACGTTACTACATATGTGGTATTGAGTCGACTTCAGTTTCTTTTTAAGTTTCTTTCTCAACATGTCAATCTCATGTTTAAGTACATTTGGTGTTGAAGTTGCAAACGTCACTCAACTAGCGGAGAGTAAGACCGTAAAAATATACTGATCAGAAAGTTTTGTATAACAACGTATTAATCTAGAAAAGGTTAAAGGTACGATTGTTGACAACAGTTCGTGAAAAACGTGTCCGCTGTATTCCACATTCATACTGTGCAGAAGTCGGCTGTGAGAGGAAGTTATTGGGTTTCCGCCGATGTAATAGCATCGCGACGAGCAGCAGCCGAGTTCATAAAACACCATAAACTTCTACGGTTGAACTTCTTACTAAGTCCGGCTTCCCCCTTGATAGCCACACGGCGCTTTGATAACAAGAGAACGATTGGTACAATAAAACCCGCCGGGCGAGAAGTAAAAACGTCACACGTCTTGACAAACACCTCGCGCGTTTTTATAGCGTCCAACCAATTTCACATCAGCGCGCTGCCACCTGTTCCTAAACTTTATCTTTCATATTTCTATAAATTTTAATGATTTTGGACACGATGTGACACCTGTTACTGGTGAGGGAGAGCGGCGGGAGTGTTGGCGGGGAGATGGAGCCCATCTCTGCACCGTTCCACTGCAACGCTCCTGTACTCATGTGGAAAACTGGCAGAGGAAAAGTGTCCCGGCCTTGTCCGGATCTGTTAATAGGGGATCGAGCGGGACTGAGGAAATTAAAGTCGGCAGATGTCGCGACTGCCTGCGACTGTTGCCGCGCTTTCACGACAGTAAACTTGAGAAATGTTGGAAACTGATGGCTGGAAAGTGGGACGAGGAAATTTTACTTTTGTTCTTGGGGTCGTATCACAGAAGATATTCTTCTCTCTTTCAGATCCCCAGTATCATGTAGCCTCTATCAGGCTTTAGAAGCGGCAAACTGTACTCTATCGCACCAGCGCACTCGCCCGGCGCATTATCTATTTGGGCAATTTCTGCTCTTTCAGCCGCTTACGAAGCCTGATAGAGGCTACACATCATTTGAAGACCTCGTTATAATATTGCAAAATGAAAACATTAAGGTTTAACACAAAGAAGAAGACATCAAAAGAGCAAGTTTACCACTGGGACTCGTCCCTCCAGCTATGGACATGTACTGCTGATGCTGCCAGGCTATCTTTAGGCAGTACTGTAATATTAGGTACCATCCAGGGGACCGTATAGAAATCGATGGATTCGGCTGATCCAATGGAAGTGCGGCGTGTTCTGTGTTGGCAAGATGTCTCATTTTTTAACAACACGGGTAAAAATAATAAAAGTACATAGCTAAGGGGCACAGAGAATGATATGAAGTTGTAATGTATGATTCACTTAATGTTAGTTCTTGCAAGCAGGATTTGGTCACTGCTATATTTAGTACAGAGGAAAGAATCAATGCTAAGGGTAGAGAACTAAAGGTTAGGAAAATCTTTACTTTGTCGTCTTGTCCGACTTTGGCCTCGATACTGACACCTGCAAATTTACCTCTTCCGATTGAACTCTGACCTCTACAATCACTGGCCTGCTCTGACCAGGAACAGCGGTGACCTTCAGTAACCCCGCAGGAAATTGGGCACAATTTTCCACTGGGTACAGGACAGGCAATAACCATTTCTCATAACTGTTAACGCCTTCTCTGACTCTACAGAAAGTGGAAGATTACATGTAAAAAAAGTTTAAACTATTTTCAAACACAAGCATCAGGCTCCCCCAAATTTTCTACCAGTCCTTGTTTAGTATTCTTCAGGACAAATGTAGTGGAAAAAGTTATTTTTTCTCTCTCATGTATTTCAAATGTTTAATTTCTCACCGTTTGCATATTTTTTGTACAATTTTAAATGCCTTTCACATTTTGAACCACCTGATCATCAAATCACTGTGTCTGAAGGCAGATATCTAAAAAAAAATCAATAATCAAGTCATATCTTTTCTGTCTTATCATTTCCATCCAATGTCTATTGATTGAGAGTAAAATTGGCCCAGTGTTGGTGCTGACAGTGCTAATTCCCCATACCCTGTCCCTGTGTGTGTCCCCTGTGCCCAGAGGTTCAGACACCCTACCTGGAACAGAAGATGACTGAGTTTTACTGGTCCCCGGGGAAGGGCCAGGAAAGATGCAGATCTCCTGCTGCAATTTGCAGGGTCAGTGTGCTAGGGTAATACCGAATCTACCAAACATATACATGTAACAGTGTCCCTATTTACATTGTACTTGGGAGGTACCCACTACATCCAACTGCCTCTTCACTATATTAAAACTTTCTAAATGTGTAAATCATGGCAGTTAAGAACAAAGAGTATAAAGGAACTTAATTCAATCAATTGTGGTATTCTACATGTACTTGTCACCGACTTGTTGGGAAGGCCTTGATATGAATACCTGAAACTTAAATATTATCAAGGACATGTTCTTGGTATAGCTTTGGTTATAATTTTAGACATTGTATATTGTCCTTGAACATACACTCATTATGATGTCTGATGTTGGCAGAACTAGTAACTTAAGTTAGAACCTTTTAGGGCAACAGAAGCAGATTCACAAAAAGCTGCTATATGCTACGCCACAGGTATTCAATACAGCACACCTAATGCTTTGTGTTTAGCCAACAGAAAATGTAACGTCAACAGGATTGCCATAAATGCTGTATCTATTGCAGGAAGTACAAATAGCTCACATGTTTACATATAACATAAGGCTTTCTTACCTCATGATTAATAGTGACATTTCTAACAAAAACTATTCCTGCTAATTCTGTTGTTGTAACATATACAGTATACACGCATAATGCTTCCTGTTTAGGCAACAGAAAATAAATAACATCAACAGGATTCCCCTGAATGTCTTATCTATATATAGCTATTGCAGGAACTCCGAAGTACAAATGATTCGCACGTTTACATAAAACATAAGGCCTTTCTCCCCGTGATTTGTAGTAACATTTCCAAAGAAATTACCCGCGCTGATTCCGGTGTTGACACACGAGGTGTTTCAGAGGTAAACAGAAAGGTGTGTTCCTGTCGGAATGGGTGCCTGGGGACGCCTGCTACGACCCTCGGGGGGCACATAAGATGAAATAGTCTCTTGTCCTTCCCGCTCGGCTGTCTTCCTTCCAATTACACTAAACTGCCTCATGAATACCTGCGTTATTCTGGGCCAGGTCTGATGATGGGTCTCTATGTAAAAGGTGAAAGATAAATCATGGGGAAAGTCCCGGGGGGGGGGCTGTGGGTATGTGCCGCCCAGGGTGGAGACACACCAACTTCACCAACAGCCAATTGCAAGATAAAGCTGACAGCTATGTTTTGCTCCATCTCATCATGATCATCCAAATTGATGGAAAGGCCATAGCAGGCTTCTTGGCTGGACCATTAGGTGTTGTTTCTGATGGTTTATCAGTTTTCTGATTGCACAAGGTTTTTGACAACCACCAAGCCGAAATCCAGAAAACAGCATAAGATAAGCCCCCCAAAAGTCTAGCCTAGAAGCCTGCTGTTGAAGCTAGAAAGTTCTAGGCTGTTGCTCTGTGATCATAGCATATGACAAAGAGAATGTGTACACATACAAGTGGAAACAATGTGTTGGGTATGTTTATATAATTTTAATCTAAGACCATAATGCTTTGTTTTATATACACATTAGTTTTCAGGAATGGTAGACTAAAGAATAGGACTACAGTCGGGTTTTCATTTGGTACCAAAACACGTGTGGCTTTTTTCATCTAAGAGTCAGTAAGACTGAGATTTTGTTTTATATACACATAATATAATAATTTTCAGGAATGAAAGCCTAAAGAATCTAGGGTTTTCATTTGGTGCCAAAACAAGCGTGGATGGTTGGCTTCTGGAGACATCCTGGTGGAGTAAATCCGCCCGGCTATCTGTCCCTGTCACTTAGCGCCTGCAGAGTGCTGAAGGAGTCAGGGAAGCGGTCCATCAGCACGATGCCCTTGTCAGCGTTCACATCCAGCTCATCGATAAAGCCGAACCAGTAGATCACCAGGCCTGGGCCAAACCTTCCCACAGGAAACACAGAGATGCAAGATGTTAGACACTATAAACTACAGATACATATATATACTACTGTTCATATCTAGATGTTCATCTTTTATTAGAAGAATAGGTGCCATTCTTATTAGCCTGGATCCCAGACTGTTCTCAAGGCAAAACAGGTCAGCATGCTGAGAAGCTTTGAGTCTCTGATCATGAGAGGGTCTATGGTAAAATTTCCTTGGGGACATGTTGGCCCTGGCCAAGGAAAGTAAGCCTGTATACTGGCCCTGGCAACAGTCTGGCACCCAGGCTAGCCCTGGAGCTGAGGAGCTAGTCCGTATACTGGCCCTGGCAACAGTCTGGCATCCAGGCTAGCCCTGAAGCTGAGGAGCTAGTCCGTATACTGGCCCTGGTAACAGTCTGGCATCCAGGCTAGCCCTGGAGTTGAGGAGCTAGCCTGTATACTGGCCCTGGCAACAGTCTGGCACCCAGGCTAGCCCTGGAGCTGAGGAGCTACCATGTACACTGGCCCTGGCAACAGTCTGGCACCCAGGCTAGCCCTGGAGCTGAGGAGCTAGTCCGTATACTGGCCCTGGCAACAGTCTGGCACCCAGGCTAGCACTGAAGCTAGCTGAGGAGCTAGTCTCCTGGCCCTGGCAACAGTCTGGCACCCAGGCTAGCCCTGGAGCCGAGGAACTAGCCCGTGTACTGGCCATGGTAACAGTCTGGCACCCAGGCTAATTCTAAGAGATACAAATGTGTCTCGCCCGCAGCTTTCAGAGTTGTAACCTACAGTCTTCAGTAACGTCCCAGGAATCTTGTCATGTGACCATAAGTTGTCATGTGATCACCGGGCTGCTTTCATTCACAGATGGGGGAGTGTGATGGCATTTTGAGAGTTTTAGTAAGTAAGAAGCCTTACGTTACATAGGGAATGTGGTGGTGTTCAGGAGTATCAGAAAAAGGTATTAAATCAATTGCCCATCAATTGGCCCGTACGAAACAACTTTTTTCTGTATGTGAAGGCATCCAATGCATTTACTGCCATTCTTAACACATTCTTATCATCACGTTATACTGTACATGTACTTGAGTAAGGAATCCTTCTATTTTTGGTTCCACCAATAAATTGCTACAACCAGCCTTTTATACGAAACAAGCAAATGTATTCCATATAGAAGTGACATGGCATTTTTGCCTCACAGATATCTGTATGCTTTAGTTCAACTTTAATACTACATTAAAAAAAAAACGACTAGAAAATTGACTTTGAAACCCCAATTTTATTGCCATGAAATCGCTTTGGGTGCCTTTAAATGTTTCAGCCAAGTTTTTGACAACAGAACTTCTACATGCAAGTTTCAGCTTCAGTTTACCTTGTTTTTCTTTTTTTGGTTTTGGCTGGTAACTATCTATGTAATTCCATTTACTGGCATTTTTCTATACTGATTTTCTCTTGCCATTATTCTTGGGTTAAAGTTTTGAGCACCGTCTCTATGGTGGCATCCTCCATGATATAACAGCTCGCTCACACAATACCAGCAGATGAGCTTCAGAAGTGGCAGACATAATAGTTAACTGGCGGCATTAAAACGCCGCAGAAAATAAACCCGGCATATATGGAAACTGGAGCCTGTAACACTAGAGCCACATTACACACCATCAAGCTCATCCCAGCCTGAATCACCTCCTTCTACCGGCAGGATTCATGGGGAGAGCCACACAGTTTCATTTGCCAGTTTTACTGTCCTCTGTAACGATGGACGATAAAGACCAAACTTGATCCTCTTTACTGCCTGGCTCAATAGGCGGGACATATTTCTGTCAGGGATGAGTGGAATGATGACAAACGGCTAAGCCTCTACTTCTGCCCTGTCCAATATTGTAGCCGAGCGCTGCTGTACAAGCCCAGATTGTGGTCCTGAGTGGAAGGAAGAGGCTGTTAGATAGCCAGACGGTGTTGTGAGAGCGTGTAAGGGATGCCTTCATATGTAAAGCAGTGGCGCGTTATCTTGTTCAACCACACACTAGCATCTTCCACCGCCAACCAAGCCACCAGGACTGATAACTGGGCTCGTCTCAGAATACACACACCGCCAGCTAACCAAATCACACACACACCAGATAACCTGCAGTGGATATGACAGAGTTGAGCCCATCTAAAGTGATGATGCCTGCCTGGAGCTTTTTACAAGTTCAAAGCAACAAACAAACAAAGGAGGCTTAAAAGTACCAATATTACAAAACCTACTAAATATTGTATAACTTGCTGTTAAAAAACTATTTATACTTTTCTGTCCTTTAAACTTGGGCTCATCTCAAAATTTCAACAAATCAAACTACAGGTCTGAAATTCTTGTCTATTTAAATAATGTAGAGATTAAGTTTCAACCCAAAATTAAGAAAACATTAAGTATAGAATTTAAAGATTTGACCAGGTATACATTTTTACAGGTGAACACCTAAGATGGAGAGAGGAAGGACAACTTATTAAACACATTACAGAACATGCCCTGACTGTGCCCTAATAATATCTGCTGATTTGATGTCTAATCTGTGATTATACGGCCTACCTCAATACTGTGTCTCCTCACAATGACATACAGACAATTCATTCTGAGATTATGCTAAATATAATTGGTGCTAATCTGTTTTGTGCTCAGGAAGATCGATTTGGCTCAGGTTAAACACCGTTGGTGTCTCATATACAATGTAGAAGGAGGATATTGAAGCGATTGCACCATAACACAAACTTATAGCATTGACAGTATGACAAAATCTATTACATTGTAATTCTACTTTTTCAAACTCAAAGTTGTTTCCAAAGAGGGGCACTGCAAGTGTTTAAGGAAAAGGGCTCCAGTCCTACAATAATTTGCATTCAATCTACAGTTGATCTTTGCTTTAAAAACATTAGCCATTCCTGATACCACTCTATTGTTCATATTTTCTTACACAATACGTAAGGCTTTTCCTCCAAGTATTTCAATAATAAACTGCTGGAGTGAATTATGTCGTAGACATTTTATCAACTTTGTGCTGGGAGGTAGATTTACTATCAGGCTCTCAGGGGTAAACATTAATATTGGTTTAGTTTTTTGTTCTCTGGGTAAATCCATGGGCCTTGGAGGATTGAACAGCAATTTTCCGGAATTTGCATTCCATAATGCTCCTAATCTAATACCATTGGAAAGAGCATCTTCTCATCTGTAATGCAAACAATGGGAAGAGAATGGAGATTTACAGAACAATATGGTGTACTTCACACATCACATTGGAGGTAATGGTTCTCCCAGGGTAGAATTCCACGTTCGCATTGTCCTCTGGTACGGGAGGGTTGAAAAGAAAAGACTATTAGCAAACAAACCGTGCGATGAAAGCCATTCCGAGCAAGGCTATCACTCTCCCAGCCAGCTATCAGGGGAGAACCCCTTTCACCTCTCTGGAAATGAAACCGATGTAATCAGATCCTTTCAATATTGTAGCGGGGCAATGATCGCCTTGCGAACAATGGACTGGTAATGCCGCGCTATCAGCCCAACACCTGTCATTAGCGTGGGGATGCCGGCACAGTCCCCCGCACGTTGGCACACTCCACAACATCCCCAGGCCTCATTGTCCGCCAACGACTGAATCCAGCTTTACAAAATTACAGGTGATTCCTGCCGGCATGATTATCAAACAGGCCCCTCTCTCTACGGGGGAAAACGTTTGATGGACACGGGGGTTTCGGGAGGTAATATGATAATTGCTTTAGCTCGTGGGGAAAAAAATTATTTAGCAGAAGAATTGCGCGGGGAGCCCGAGAGAGAGCGGCTTCCTATTCAGGAAGTGTTGGGGTTTTAATAACGCGGGGAGATAGCAGCACACAATTGGAACCTTGTGATTCATCGCGAGCGGTCTTTAAGTGATCATCGCTCTAAATTAGCCCAATATTTCTACTGGCCTCCTCGGGGGGACCGTCTTTTGTCGAGCCTTGCCGGGCGCTAACTACCGGGCGCGGCGGACGGCGATTTTCCCCGGGATCTGAAATACGACATAGATCAGCAAGCCAGTAGACAGCTGTTGCACCTAACATCATTATTGTGTGCACAGTGGGGTGGGATATTAAATATGGCCATTTCCGATAAAAAGGTGGCCCCTGGCCACGCACCGGCACCATATGAGCCCGCGATATCATCATAAGGCTATTAGCTGCTTCTGTGTGAATTGCTTCTTTATGGCTCTTGATGGGATATGTAATACACCTCGTCCATCAAGCCCAACTTAAATTCCTACCTTGGAGAAAGTCAGCCGCTCTCTTAAAAAAAAAAAAGCTAATGACTTTGTGGTGGTGGAGGGAGAAGGGGAGTGAAGGATTCCCAGACAGTGCCTGGAGGTGGCGAGCAGAATTAATTATGCCGTTTTATTGCCTGGCTGGCAGGTTTTATGGTCATCCCAGGTTAATGGTCGGGCTCATAATGAAGGTTGATTTATGCGGCTGACCCGGGCCACCGCTGGGCCGAAATATGCAGAAAATAGGATTCCTCCGCCTCGCCGACGGATTTAAGCAGCTCACTGTTAATGAAAATGTAGTCGAACCCTCTGCCATTTTCACAGGGCTTATGGGCGCTAAGTCTGGCGATATGAAAACAATCTGACGGTCCCGCACGCTTCTGACACGGCCAGGACGGCCAAACTCATTTCCCGATCAATAGTAATCTTGTCAAATGAACCCTTCCCGGCTCCGCCACCCTTTTGGGCCGAATTCCCTGACCTTGGGTTATGGAATGCCATTTGTCATGTCGGAATGTCCCCGCTCTCCCTTCCCTGGCTTCTTCCCACAACTTTCCGGGCTGGGCGTGCCAGTAGGCTGGGGTTTTAACCACTCCTGGAAACATCTGCAAACATCTGTCAGGGAAAGGGGAAACTCTGGTCCTGCTAATTGCAGATTGGGAGCGGGAACGAAGTTTGGCAGGAGCGGTAACACTTATCCGATTAGGTTCCTTCTCCGCCAGTCCTCCTTAATGTCGGGAGAAATTCC